CTATAAGATAAATCAACTTCAGATTAATTCATTATCAATAACTTGCATCCTTAATTTATACAGGAATGAAATTAATTTTTATCTACTCATATTCATGTAATTAAGCGTTTTAATGACTGGCCGATTAATCGAAAAAATAATCGACAGATTAATCAATTATTAAAATAATCGTTAGTTGCAGCCCTATTCTGAAGCATTTGGCTAAATATGAGCAGATCATATTCCCAAAACACTTCAGAATGAATCCTGCTGAGTCATTGTCCCGATAATTATGGATCTGACTGTGYATTCATCCTTTTATACACATTCTTGTAGCAATTCTTAACTATTTGCAGTCTAAAGGCCCTGTCACACTACTAATGCCAACTTATGAGCATTTTAAGGACATCTGAAAAGACATTTAAAGACATTGAAGATGGAATTGAAAAAATCAACAGAAAGCTTCTTTCCGGCGTGTACATAATGTAATTAGAACAACTGGATCAAATATATAACTTTTTGTCTAGCAGACGTCCAGTACTGTTTGCTTAGCTGCAAGGTTGCAGTGACATAAATTTGATCATCTGTACTTGTCTGCAAGGATCAGCCCAGTCCTGCTGCTCATTTTCTTTCCTTTTTTTAACCACTGGCTTGGCAAGTCAGCTATGCCTTGGCAAGAATAAAATTCCCATTCAAAAGGTGACACCAAGCTCACAACACAAAATATGTCCATGAGCCAAACCACACAGAGAGCGAGAAAAACTATAAGAACAGGTTCTAAAGAAATAATGTGCAAGGAGAGTGATGTAATCCACATTTTCATAAATTATCATTTAGGGACATTTCAAAATCTAGGTGAGAAGTCACTATGAAGTAATTTACTTGTTCTCTTTTTTAAATCGACAGTTGATAAACCATTATGTTTATGTAGATTCAAGACAGCAGTTGTTTTTTAATTTAAGAAAAAATGCAATTATTTGACTTTTCAAAAATTTCTGCAGCACATTACACCACCAGTTAGACTGGAGTGTAGATGTTATAATGGTCACCAGCAGAGTTGAACTATGTGGCACAGCAAACCCCAAAATATTCATACAAGCATGTGCACCTTTCTCATGTGGACATGGAGGAAGTTTAAGTCAACTTCAACAACATTGTTTTCATTCAAATTAAGTTGCTTACTGTGCAGATTTGAGATTTGAGATGTTGTTGCATTACAAACAATGAGAAACAAAGATACATAAATTTAAACAGTATAGAATAAGGTGACTTGGAGCAAAGGAAGGTGTAGTTGCAATAAGTATACATTTACGTATTCTGAAGGTCTCAGTATGGTAAGTAAGTAAAAATTTATTTATATAGCGCCTTTCACAGAAATATATTCACAAGGTGCTGTACAAACAATTAAGAACACCCATTCAAGAAGACACACATGACAAACATGGGGGAACAGGTGTACAGGTCATGCAGCAACAGAGACAGTTGTGCTACCTTTAACAAAGAAAAAAAAACACACAAGGGAAAATGAGGAAAAAACAAAACATATTATATCAACAATGTGACACACTATGGTGTTAAAAAAAACCTCTGCATAGAGCACATTTATTAGCCAGAGGAGTAAGTGAGTTTAGAGGTGTGTGTATCTGAAGCCATGATTGTTGTATGCACTTGTGTGAATATCTGAAGAATGAGCCGGAAGAATCGAGTTCCCTAAACCAGCGCAGCCATAGTTCAGAATATAGATGTTAACTGTTCATTCTGTGCGGCCCTCAGCTCCAGGAACCAGATCACAGACGGGAGTGAGAGGGGAGAGGTGTGGGGTAGACCCTCAGTTGACCTATACATCCAGGAAGAATTTAGTCCACAGCTCAAGGCCATGTAGGGGAGAGCCAGATTCTGTAGTCAGTTGTTTGGGAACAGAAGAGAATGTTTTGAGCCAGTCAGATAATAACAATTTTCCTTCAGCCTTAATGTCTGCTGGTAAATCTCAAAGGTGGTGAATCCAATCAGACAAATAGTGTGGACAAATTCCGCCGAGCCGAGCTATCAGCTTCTCCAAGATCAATTCCATCTGGCCAGCAAAGTCCAGGGACCACAGCCGGCCCGCGACCCTCCGCAGTACCGCTTGCAGACCGAGTCCAGCTCACTTAAGGCAAAAGTCTGAGTGCTGATAGAACGGCAATCCTTCATATTGGTCAGTCAGCCAGGAAATGAAAAGCCACGGACGCTGTTTTGTAGCAACACCAGGAGACCACCAAGCCAATCTGTAGAATCCAGTGATCAGAATCCAAATATATATCCAGAACAGAGGTCCCACCTTTGACATGTCCTCCCATGGAAGAAAACTTTGTTCCAAAAATTTATTAAGAGACCAGCTAACCAAATCCATAAAAATATCCATAATTTCTGGTTTCGGATGAAAACATAGAGAAGGCTCCGAGCAGCAAAGCAGGGAAGATAAGGAAGGGCAGGAGAGAGGGAAAACTGTCTCACTCCTCCGATGGTATGTTAGTGAGGTGTGCCTGTGAGCAGTTTGTGTGTGTCACTGTAGCGGTTTGACATTAGGTGAGCAGTCTGATGGCTYGTGGGATGAAACCGTTGCAGATTAGGCTATGCGGACCAGAACCATCTAGCCTTTAACACATYATGCAGTGCTTTTTTCCAACATATACTCTCTTGCTAGTCAGGACATAGTGGAGCTCAGTATCTGATCCACGAGGGAACACAATGTGGACTGGAAAAGCTGCTGAACAAACTGTCCTTATGCAGTTAGACTCACTCTGTTCTAATATACAGTCTCCCCTCAAAAACATGCTCATCATTCAAAACATCGTGGATACCTTTTAATGATAACACATTTGGATAAAGACGCGTGTGCACATTTGAAACAGTATAATTTTTTTCTTTTGAGTGAATGCGATGTGATATTATGACCTGTTGTTGGGGTTAGCTGGCACAACCTCCTCCATGAGCATGGTTCTACTTGATTCAGTTTGTTCTGTTCAGTTCTGCTCAGGTGTGTGTGTGTCCATTTCTGTGTGTCCCTCACTCTGTGGGTGTGGTTATGGGCTGACCGTCTTGCAGTGGCTTCAGCTGTTGTGTTTAAAAAAATTTTATAAAGCAGAGACATTAAGGTTTTACTGTTCGGATTTGACC